CTCTTAACCCGGTTATGATGCTTAAAGTAGCCTCATGTTTTGAAATGCTGTTTTTATATTGTTTACTTATAAGAGAAATGGACCGAGAAATTGAAGCGGCATAGACAAAGACGGATTGTCGGGGATTAAATTTTAGCTACCTGCTACAATTTAGTACAGTCCGATCACACAAAGTTTTTTTAAAAGTACACCTCATCTATACGGAAAATACATAATAAAAAAATATTGAATATAAGCACCAGTACTACATTTATTTACGATTTGCATACATAATAAGCTTTTATTACTCTCTTTCATTTCTAAACAGACTATAGGTGGTAGTAGAATACAGTAAACATAAATATATATTAAAGGAACGGAGTCTACCAATAAAGCCTTAAACAAGAACAAAGTTACTCTGATAATGTGGGCAACGGCCCAGCCAGTAGATTTATAGCCAGCAGTCGCATACCTGATCGGACCATTTCCAAATCTGTAAACATTTGCCCTTACTATGGAATTCGATTTTTTATCAAATCTCATCTCGGACTCATCTCTACCGTCTGACAAGAAGATATATATACGGGTATCAAATTATATTCAAAGCCAATAACCCAATTGTTGTAACGTTTAAAGTTGAAAAATTAAAAATCCAATTCGATTTTATTCAAATCAAATTACAATAATGCACGATTCTGTATGAGATATAATTAATTAATTATCAAATCGTGACATGTATTTATTTCAAGGTCCAATAAATAAATCAACATGTTAGAAGACTTTCTGTCATTCATTAAAATATCTAATTTATAAGGGTACAATTCTAAAAATTATTTTAAAATTCTCGTCAAGTAAAGTAAATACAAGGTGTTACGAATAGTGAGGCTATTTAAGGAATAAATAAATTGAGACTTTAGAATTCGATTGGCATAAATATTTTTTGTTAATAGAATGTATTTGTTTTATATATACTGACTTGTGACGATAATATGAGGAAACATTTTTAGAACCGCTGACTTTCTCAATAACTCGGCCGGCTCTATTTACAAATGTTCATACAAATCGCTGTACATAAAGATGTGTAGTTAACTTCCAACTTTCAACAGCGACTGCTTATGTCTACACCATATCCATTAAATCCATTGTTACTGTACTGATACATTTTATTATGTTTATTATTCGCACTTATTAACACATACACACACCCCAGACAGACTGTTATTTCACAAAAAGAAATCGCAGTTAAAACTACTGACTTCACTTAAACATTTGTTCAATAATAATTTTGCTTGAAATTTTAGCAATAAAACACACGCGTTATCGACGATTATTCACCTCTTTCTATGTAAGGTACGATTCCAGAGGTTCTCAATACGTATTAACAATTTTTATTATCTTTTTTTTTTAGTACTGAAAATGCTTATTAATGCATTCTACTCTAAATTAAAAAATCCTCTCCAAGTTTGTAAACACCCTGTATCACTGTCACCATATATCTAGGCATGCTAACAAATAGTCGATCAAAATATCTATTATTTTATGATAAGTTTTTTTCTGTATAATTGTTTACAGTATTTTATTAGACTGTGAAAGATCTCATAATATAAAATTAGAACAAAAATTGGCCACAAATACAGTTTTTGACGTCTTTGATTAAAATTTAATTTTAAAGTTAATAGCATCTAATTTCAAACTGAATTATTTTGAAGATATTCGGAAAAAACTTTACAGGTTCACATTTAAATGGGTATCGCCTTTTTTTCGCTTATGCGATTATGTTTTTTTCCTTATTCTTTAGAGATTTTTTTCATATTTTAAACTTATACGTAGGGTATCTATAACAGAAATTTACGCAATATTATTCACACTCCATATTTTATGTAAAAGTAGTTTTATGCGGTGACTGTCACTATTTCGTTCCTTTTGTATAGTAATAATAATTTCTCAATGCATATTCGTTGTATTGTCACATTTCGAACAAGTTCCATGAAACATGTACTTTAGTTGTGTTACCCTGTAAGGTAAAGTAACCTAACAT